AACTTAGTATAAGTTATAAGCGCGAAGTCAGTTTGCTTTTATAATAATAGTAGCTGAGGCTATCGCGAGATAGCCTTAGCTAGCGGCTGTAGCGCGGCACTAATTGCGCTAGTACATTTAACGCGTTATAATACGTGTATAAACAGTCTACTTTTCTAGTCTTTTACTATTCTTAGCCTAGTATAGCCTAATACTATTTTAGATTTTATGCTTGTATAATACTAGTATTATATGTGTAATTTTATTTAACTATAAAGCAAATTAACCAAATATTAATATTAATATATATTAATTAATATTAATTAATTAGTAATTAATTAAATAATAATTAATATTTATAAAAAGGGCTTATTTTCCCTTCTTAGATAGCTTTAATATAAGAATAATTCCACGCTTTAATCCCCTTCTATAGCTATCAACCTGATAAGCTCCAGCATAGTAGGTTTAAGCGCGTGTCATGGAATTCGTACTGTTTATTTTGCTTGGAGAAGTCCCACCATTAATTGTCAGGTATACCGAGGCTTCCAACGGTGTCCCAAACGCCGACTATCTTGATCTTGATGTTCGTTGTGGAGTGACGAAACCAGTCACTTCCATCACTTCCACTTCCTTTATCGACAGGCGTGGACTTTCCTTTAACCGTGACCTTGAATTTTTCGGGGGGGTCTACTAGGGACGGCCTTCCCCATTTATGGTCGCTCAAACCCTGATCTGGGTTTAAGGTCTTATACACTGCAAACATTTGCCAGAACTGAGACATTCTCTGGGGCTCACAGATTCCAACTCGGCAAATCAATCCTACAACAGCTCGCACAGTGTATGCGCCACGAGAGAAGCCAAAAAAGAAGAGTTCATCGCCGCTGCAGTAGTTGGAAACAATGAAATTATATGCTTCATAAACATCCTTATCCAGACCTAATCCCAGTCCGCCTGTAGTGTGGTCAGACTTTGGATACTTCAAATTGCTAGTAATTAATGGGCAGATAGGTATAAATAGGCCGGCTTGTCTTACCGCCTAATCGCTTGGCGAGTCCCGTAATTTTCTTGCCTACGCCAGCACTATAATAGATGACTTGCGGGACGTGCTGCTCATACTCGTTAACGAATAAGTGCGAAAGACAATGTGATATTTTTGCAATATTTGATGGTATCTCGTGCAGCCCATGATTGGAAGACTGCCATGTCCCATCACAGCAAATAATAATGCGCTTCGGCGGGCGCGTATTCTGCGCGGACATTTTGTTCGCGAAGATCCTCGTGCCAACAATGCACGTCGAAGTCTCCGAGACTGTCCCAACTCTGTCAACTCACGCTCTATGAAATGAAGAAAGAGTTATTATTTGAGTACAGACATGAGTTAATAGACACCACAAATTATTCAAAGTGCCACTAATAATGCACAGCACAGTAGCACAGAGGAAATAATAAGAGGCAGTTGCTACTTTGACAGGTCATGCAGTTTTTTTTGGCGGGCTTTTTGACTTTCGCAAACTGTACAGGTGAAATTGCATCTGTACGGCTGTATCTGCAGTAATATAGTTTTGGGATAGTACTACTAAGAGCGCAATCGTTCATGGCTGCCACAGCTGGAACCTTGATTGCCGAGATTGCCGCACACAATCCTGCCGTCAGAACGTGGAGGTCTACCTCGTAGATACTTCGGTTTCGCAAGGCCTCTCATTATCAATCCCTGAGGTTCTCCATGCATCAGCAATGTGCTGCACTGCAACTAGTAATAGCCTGGAGAAAATACTTCACAAAGGGTAGGTGCTCTGCAATACAATATTATTCCGTCACTGTCGCATTAGATGAGAGTCCGATATCTGTATAGTGGGAAACGCCCCGACATCGTAAAGCACTGGGCGTGCCAAGCACTTACGACGGTGTAACAAGATGAGGGCCAGAGACGATGTGCTAAGTACATGATGGCTGGATATGGCAAAATTTACGGCTGAGAATACTTAACGCCTCCAGAAGAGCCACGCTGAAAAGGGTCCGTCGTATGGCCTGATGAAGATGTGCCATGGCAACTGAGTTGCTGGTTGGGGTCTAAAGTGAAAACGATGACCAAGTTTGAAGCTGAGGCTGAGACTAATGGCGACCTCACAAGGTTTCCCGAGAGGCGCGTAGTGGAACGGAAATTTCCGATAATAATATTTCAAGTGTTAAACGGGAAATTGTGGCCTCTTGAAATGGGCGATGCGGAGAAGCCGCCCAGGTCTCCCACCCACCTCATCACTCTAGCTCATGTCCTCGTTCTAGCAATAATTGCCAGACTGAGAAATATGGCTGACCTTGCATGGATAGACATATTGAGGTGCCTGGTTATAATCTCTTATCTCCATGGAATCGGGCGCGCCAAAACTTGTTATTAGGCACAGGTACAACTTCAGCTTTAGCGGTTTAAACATAGAGTGAAGGACCCCTTAGACAAGTATTATTTCATTTTTAGATTTATTTGCCACGTAAGACTATATACCGCTATACCGTTAAGAGTTGACTGACAGCTGTTATTGCTGTGGCAATATGCTTTCGGCAGGGTGTCCTTCCAACCAACTCAACCAACTCGACCCCCGGATTAAATCGATTGGCAACTTTTACTGCAAGGATTAGATAGATCCAACCAACCGGACCCCAGGATTAGTTAGAGTTGGATAAGTTACTAATTAATCTTATAAGAGTGTATATTACCTGACTATTACTTATTAACTTAACTTAATCTAATTATTATAATTAACTTAACTTAATCTAATTA